GCTAGCCGTGATGAAGACAGCAACACAGCGAAGTATGCTTTGAGCGCCTCTACACTATTTTATAATCCAATCTGACTTTCCATCGCATGAGCTCCGTTGCGATCAAGCAAGAAATTGAAACCCGATGGACACGACACGCTGCTTGCTTTGCTGACAAGCGGTGGACATCATCACAGAGCTGTCTTGCTCGTTAGAAAGTAAACGGACTCCAAAACGATGGCGAACTTCCATCGGTCACCAGTGGGTATTAACTGAAGGTAAGCAACCTAAGGTCGAAGAATTTGGCACAGCTTTGGACGGGACGTGTGGAAACATCCCAGTGAAATTATTAATATGGTTGAATTGACTCTGTTGTTCTTGTAGGCGACATATGTGCTGCTCGAGTTTCGACGGCTAATTGCTTCATAATTCAGTAGCTTATTTATAGAGCGCTATACTTCGATTAGGTATCATATCACCGATTATCGAAGCAGTCGTAATTACGGTTCTTGCAGTTCTCATATTTCACATGGATGTTCGCATATCTTTAATTTTTGGGTACGTCTTCCTACTTCCGTCTTCATTTGTTCAAAATTTGCAACATTAAAAACTGTTTCATTTCCTTTGTTTCAAATCTGGCGGTATTCGATTTTGCATATTTCGGAATAAATTAACAATTATTTTGTTTACTTTATTACAGCATTTAGTTCGTGTCTCGCATTAGCAAATGACATAGGTCCTGGACTGTGACGCAGCAGACTTACCGGTGCGATCATGCGTTTTTGCACCAAACTTGAAGTTATCAGATCGTTAACTGTTGCTTTATATTTGTGCACTCACCATAAACCGTCGTAAATTTTTGCAGAAACGAAAATGACATCGCTTGACCGGACGTTTATTGAAATGACTGAGCTATCTAGTTAGCAAGCTTCCCACCAAAACTCCACGCATCCATGAGAATCAGACGTACTTAAAAACTGAACTTGAGCTCCTTAGATCGCACACCTTCCCAGAATTTCCACTTTCTGACTTCTCTGGTTTTCGAGTTAGCAATTTTCCTACGAAAACTTTCGCGAACCCATATGTGGAAATAATATTTTTTGGCATAAATATAAGGTAGTAGCTGATCTAAGCATGCTTGCAGCGATAAGACTGGTCAGTAGCTAATCAGTCTTGCTGCTGCGAGCATGCGTTTTTGCGCAGTTTTCATCCATATCTCTGCTAAGTAGCACCTTTCTTTGGCAGGCTTCTAGCTAAACCGGCTGATAGTGGCCTCCCACATTGCTACAAATTTATTGTTAAAATTTCGACTTCATAGGTGTCGCAATAATGACAAACACACGAGGACACACGCACACAACTCCTTGGCAATATGTATTGTGTGGATGCAAAAACTTATTATCAAAAGTATACCACAGTGTTATAAGCACACCGCTTGCTTGAGAGAATCAAACCATTTCATCGGCTTCCCATAAAAAATTTTATTTCTTATAATTTCACTATTCATTTTGATGCTTTCCAGATACATTGCAGCATTTTCAGGATGGCGCTAGCGGCCACATCACCCGCCGTAACTATCCCAACAATGCTTGGCCTCAGCAAAAAGGGTTACGGTGCACATTCCGGTGTACCGACTGTACTGCTTGCAGCAGCTGCCATCGACAATATGATATGCCTGACAGTTGCTAACATTCTTCTAGCAATTGTTTTTTCCAGCCGTTTGTTTTTTTTTTTTTTTTAAGAATTATTAATAGTGACTGGGTTGACTAAGGTAGAAGGGGGAGGGGGGGACTAGAAAACGGGAAAAAGGCACTCAAAGATGCTTGGTGGCATTTCGAACTGCGCTAAGACCGAGCTGACTTTTCTGCAGTAAACTCTTAGGGTAAATATATCCTGAAAGGGGGTTGCCTGTGTATGAGTGTGTGTGCAAGCATAATAAAGCTATTTGCAGAATCGACAGTAGCAGTAATTGTCACCGTTGCTCTTCAAATCTTGACTGGTATCGCCGCTGGGCTTTTTTTCGGTGAAAAATCACACTTTTAGTTTTTTATTATAAAATATAGTTAACTACATGTGCATCGAACGGACGGTGAGTATAAACTGGAGATGTGCAATTTAAAATCGTAGAGCCTCGCATAACCGCGTCTGGAGTATGGAAACATCCCAGTAACATTGCTAACATGGCACTCCTGTGTAGGTTAGAAAGGGAGGCCTTGGTATGCATTTAAAGCTTTTTATTAATTAAGGCCACGTACTGCCGATTTTTGTTATAGTACGCTAGTCTGCGATTGTTTCAGTATCGTAGCCCTTTTTGATTTCAATGATTTAGGCGACTTTTACATTCTTCATTTAAAGCTTTTTCTAGATAAACTCTATTAACAGCTGTCAGGTCAGAGAACCTGAAAGTGACTTGCATCTCTCTGTCTCCTAAACCATAAAGATAGATAATCAGGCTTTTTAATTAAAAAACAAGCGAAATTAGAATTCATAATCCCGAGAGCGCAGTACAGCATAGTATTCCGACCTATATTTTAATGCTTGAGTTCAACTCTTTTTGCGCTTCAGAAATAAATTAAAAAGAAATTTAAAATTTTCTTTTTACGCCATAATACATAAATTCATAAAACTATTTTCACTGTTTTAGTAATTCGAGTGCTGAATCGTTCTGTCACCCATGAAGAATACACTTCAGTAACATATCAAGAAACGCATAAAAAGTGAAACGGTAGAAGTTTCTGCACCTGCAGGTTGGCTGTTATGGTGGTTTCCAAGTAAATCTTCGCGACAGCTGCATTTCTCACGTGGATTACTATTGGAGTGTCTCTCACTAGCATTCATATTTGGCAGTCAAGCTGTCGACTGGGCCAGTGCTGGTGTCATTGCAACCATTCTGTGTAGTATTGTCGCATCTATCCGATGGAAAAGTGATAACGAGAAAGGGGTATTTGTTATGTTCC